ATATGGGAATTCAAATCTTAATAAAAGAAAGCTTCTATCCAAAGAATTTGGAAGGGTCTCTGACCTATGGATGTTTGAATGTATAAACAAATCTGCATAACAGGCAATTCTTTTATAGCTATGGGTGGCTTTAGATAATGCTAAAGTCAAAATGTATGCAAGGACAAAGGTACTGATGGACAACATGATCCTCATGTTTATTATGAAATATTGCATGGGTAGTGTTAGCCTCTTTGTAACATATATATCTCTATATTACGGCTGGCTCTGGCCACTTGCAGAGAGATCAGCGTCCCTGATTCCTTGGCTACCCGGCCGCCAAGGAGAGAAACACTGCTGTTTCTTTTTTTTTTATTCTGACACGGAGCCGTGTCAGAATAGAAAAAAAACAAAACATTTTTGCCCATTGGAATGCATTGCTAGATTCCTATTGGCTATTTCAATTTGCAATAGCTAATAGTAAACTAGCATTGTACCCGCCCTCTGCTGCAGTTCTCCATCAGGTCCATCAGCCCCTGAGGGACCGAACAGAACAGCCGAGCCGAATGCTGCACAGCTATTCACTCACTCCTGTTCGGCATCTATAAGAATAGGCAGAACAGCAGGGAGTAGCCTGCCGGAGATCGAACTCCTTCTGCACTTTGGGTCAGCCGAACATGCTGAGCATGTTCGGCCGACCCGAAGCCATGCGAAGCAAGCCGATGTACGGCTGATTTCAGCCATACCAGCCTGAAGTGAATATGTTCGGCTCACTTCGCTTCAGGTCGGTCATTCACTTGGCTGCCTATGGCAGCTTAGTGAATAGACCCCTTTATATTTACAGCCTGGTCAAAACAAGTTTTTTGTTGACAGGCTCTGTAGCTTAAGCTGCAATTTGAACATAGAAGTGGATCATTATATACCAAGTACTGTACAAGTACAGACACTTTTCAAGCTCCAAAACTAGACTAGACTTACATAAGATCAACCCTAAAAAGTCCAAGCTATGTTGGAGGTGTTCCGGGGAAGATGGGACGATGTTACATATCTGGTGGTCGTGCCAGTCGATAAGAACTTACTGGAAAGCAATCCTGGAGATTGCTCAAGAGCTGACGGGTCTCCATGGCCTGGAGACATCTGAGGTTGCTCTGTTGTCTCTACACCATGGACCGTTACCCGCAGTGAAAAAAGGTCTTCTATGTCCGATCCTAGCAGCTGCAAGGGCAGTAATACCAAGACACTGGAAGTCAACTAGCCCCCCTCAGATATCAGAATGGATGAAAAAACTTAATAATGTCATGCGATTTGAAGAACTTACATCTCGCTTACATAATAGATACACGACATTTAGGGAGAGGTGGAGCCCCTGGAGGGACTATATGAGTTCACCAGAGATTCTTAGATACTTATAAGGACTAGGAGGAGGAGGGTGAAAGAAGAGGAAGTAGAAGGGGGAAGGAGTGGGAACGTAAAAGGGAAGGAAAAGGGGAAATCCTATATCTAGACTTCGATCTACCAAGTAAACTCTCTGTTGACTTAACTCCCTTTTTTTCAAATTTATCAAACTATCTAATATATCTATAATGCCCTTGTGGATGT